ACTTTAAGATCACGTCCCTCCGCTGTCTTTCCAATTGAATATAAACGACAAATATTCGGAAACTTGCCACGTATTTCGCGCATAAACGCATATATCACATCCAAGTCGTGATAGTCCTTCCAATGAATGCCGCTGCGTGCTTGTTTCTCTGCAAATATCAAAAGTGCAGTCATTAAATACATTGTGCTGCAGTTAAAATTATTGAAATTTATCACTAACTTGTACGACTACCCGCCTCCGCTTGGGTCGCATTTATGCCATCCATTTCGGCGGCGTCAATGAGCGCCTGTATATTCATATGCATCACTTCTTTGTCGATATTGCGTGCGGCAAGATAGCTGCGTGCCGCCTTCAAGTTTTCCTTATTGATGGAGATATCAAGAAATTTTGAGTTCTCTTTCCAAATGACGCCACCTGCAGATAAAATAAAAATTTCAAATTAAATATCTAATAAATTGATTTGCGTACATACATACATATGTATGTAACTAAACAACTAAAAATCTATATACGTACCGAATTTACTCTCCAATGTCTCTGCCAGCGGCATGCTATTCTGCATATGCTCTGAAATATTGTAGATACGCCACAATTGTGCATCGTCGTAGCGCACTGGAATCTCATTGACTTCGAGTAAACCATCCACGGCATCATCGTCTTGTGCTGTTGCATACGATATATTCGCGTTGATTTCCCTTTCATAGAGCATTCGATTTCCTGTTTGTATGTTTTTGTCAGCAATGGGCTCCAGGCGACTGATATCGAAAGCAGTGGTGAGCGCGAAAAGCACAAACACGCTGTAGATGCCGTAGTGGCGACGCAGCATATTGGGCTCGATATGTGAGGAGATGGTATGTATGTAGTAGGTAAAGTGGGCTGATGTGAACAAGGGCAAGTGTTGTCGGTGGGGCGAAGTGGGGATTTTCCAACTGTAAAATATGGAAATAGGATAGTTTTGTGAAAATTTGCTCATGTACAATGAAAACTGGATTTAATTTTTATATAATATTTTATTTGCTGCCTTTTTTATTTTGTTTGTTTTTATTTTATTTTATTTTATTTTATTTTATTTTATTTTATTTTATTTTATTTTATTTTATTTTGTTTTATTTTATTTTATTTTATTTTATTTTATTTTAATATATTATATTATATTATATTATATTTTATTTTATTGTATTTAATTTAATTTAATTTTATTTTATTTTACTTTATTTTATATTGTTGTATTTTATTTTAATAAAACTCGGAACTCAAGCTGTGGTCAGTATATTAAAAACTAATTACGAATGCAATCAACCAAGCTCTGCTCTAAGAAATATTAATGCATAATCTACTATTACTTTGAATTGCGATGCAAGTGCTTATGTAAGAAAAAAACAGAAAATTTCGTTTAAAAATCAGACGACTTGAGTGCACGCCTCCTGAATAATTAATGCATAGTAAATTCTATTTATTTTTAGTGATTTACATTCAATATTTATATGCAACATATGCATTTTTCAACTTTTCTTTAACTCGCTATGTATGTATGTACGTAGGTATAGATGTGTGTGTGTATGTGTGTATGCAATCTTGCAATAAATTTTTAACCCACCTCCCAATGAGCTAGATACTTGAAACATCAAACTTAGCTGAGAACCCGATGACCATACAATACGGAAGATAAATTAATCCGATAGGTGGCGCAGGAGTCGTTCGGATTTGGTTCATATTTGGAATGGGTTCCTAAGACTTGATGTGTAGCCAGCCGTGGAAGCCCCTATCGCTCAGCGCTCACTGAGCCCATTATAGGCCCATCTGTCCAGGTGTAGTCCACAAGTTGTCAAAGACATTTTAATGCGCACCCTCTCTAGCAGATGACATCAAGGGAGCCCGCCTGACTAAAATTTTTTGCGATGGCATTGTGTATGATTGATTTAGAAGTAGTCCGAGGCGATTGAAAGAGGGGTAAGCTATTCACCGACCATAATGAGTATATAGTATATATTTACCCTTCTAATACACCTCTGTCTTAAAAGCGCTGCAAAAATCCGGCAGCCTGAGGGACCCTGCGAGGTGTCTGTGCTCACTCTAAGCTAGACAAAAAAAGTACAGTCGTGAAGCGTGCAGGAAATAAGCCTAAGTTGTTCTCGACTCCGAGCTTATTATGAAAAGCCGCGTTGATGTTAAAAAATATGCCAACTACAACGTTTTTCTATGTACTTAAAAGTCTTATCAATAATTATAACAATTGTATGCTGGGCGGTTTCCATTGATCTACCTTTTAGGTAAAAACGCCGAGAGAGGCTCAATCGCCCTCGAGGAATTTAATTTTTATTCAATCAGTCTCTCAAGAGTCTTTAATAAGAATGAAAAGTGCTTTTTTACTGCTCATAAGTTGTACTCTTATAAAAAGAAGAAAACTGAAAGAAATAGCTAAGCGTTTTAAAGTTTAAACACAAAACGGATGATATGATTTAGGTTGAGTTAAGGCAAACTGAAAAAAACGGCTATGAATTGACCCTCTGTTTGAGTTCTGTTTAACAAATCTTATAAATGGGTAAGAACTCTTGAAAAATTTGTTTAAAAAAAATGTACTTGTCGCTTATACACTATGTAGGATGACGGCTAGCCATAATGTTCATAATCCATGAAAAATTGAAAACGCGTATGTTAACATTTAAATAAATTGATTAACAGGGAGTTCAATGCACCTCAAACAGTTTTTTAATGTTATATACAAGGACCATACCGATTATAGCTTTTACTGGGTTATATGCATACGTGCATACATTAGGATGCCTCACTCTTCGTGCGAAAAAATCGGGGTTTCCATCGGAATTATATAATTCTTTATATTTAAAGACTTGCGCCAAAATATTTCGGAAAAATATTTAGCCTTAGCTAAATCTACTCAAAAATACATACATAATTCCAAAAATCGAGATTTTTTATAATTAAAATTAGTATTAAAAAATACGACATTTTTCCAAAAAATCAATCAGGTGGTAGAAAAGTTTTAGCTTTAAAGTCAGCAAAAGATGTTTAATAATTTTACCAACGGAATCAAAACAATGAGATTTTCAGCCCAGCTCATGTCAATTTTAATATTTTTCTGAAATATTGTGCTACAAGTCCTAAAATATAATAACTTTTATAATTCCGGTGGTAAATCCGCAACTTTTTCTGGTGAGGCACCTTAATGTCGTACATATGCAAAACAAAATTTAAACTTCTAAAACCAAGTGAAAATCAAATCATGCCGTTACTCATAGGGAAGCCTAACTAAGCAAATTGTAATATTAGACTCATTAAGTCATTTAGTTTTTTTTTTTGCTTATGGTGACTACGTATTAATAATTTGTACTTGGTTTTAATAATCATATTGCAAGGTTATTGCTGATTGAAAAAATGTTTAATAAAGTCAATAAACTCATACGCTTTTTGATATATGTACATATCGTCAACATTACGAATGCATCTAAGTTTACATAAAACGTTTTGGAAGCCATTCTAAAAAGTTTAAAAGTCTCGTGTATTTGATATATGTATAATGTTTAGGAATATATGTACAGTGGCGCTCATCTAAACAGCACACTTATTTTTTACAATATTCACAATGTTTTACGTGATAAATTTCTTTCGCTAATTTTTTATGAAAATATGTATAGTTGATTCTATAACATAAACCATATAAGTCAAAGTTTAAAACTTGTGCACAGCTCAGGAAAATTTAACAAATTTCAAAAAAAATGTCATCAAAATGTTCAACTTTTTTTCAGAAACTTATTGGGAATGCAGTTTTGCCCATTAAATTTTAGTACAATAATGTGCAGGTTTGAAAATTCTGAAAAATCCCGTTGATAATAAATGTATGAAGAAAAAAAATATTTTTTGTCAATGTTATTGTGGCTTGTTAATGTTATTGTGGCTTGTTAACATTTTATTTTTAATATTTTTATTGAGCTTTGTACCACGATTGTTTATTGGGAAAAATTGAAAAAGCAACAAAGTCCAATATTAAATTTTTTTAAAACTGTTGATTATATAGAAAAACGTTATATGAACAGATTAAAGGAATTGTAATTTTTAATTTTTTTTAATTTGTTTGAGCAAAATCGGACTAGTGGTTCTCGAGTTATGTCAAAAAAAGACCACCAAAGGTGACAATTTCCCCTATATGATAGTTATATATATATCTCGATTCCTAGACGTGACCCAGCGAAACGCCGGGACACGTATAACTTCTTTTTTACCGATATAACTTTCCCCGGTAGTTTGAACCCTTCCCGATCACTGACACCTACCATTTGTCTCACAGTGTAATCAAATATAAAGTATTCATTTTTACTATGCATTATTTCCCTCAGTGTAAATTAATTGCAATATGGTACTTAAAGCCAAATTACACGATTGGTGCATTTGTATAGATTTGAACATTTCGACTGTTACAGAGTGATGTTGTGTGGAGGCATCATAAACGACATTTAAATGTACCAACTACACTTGTCTGTTTAATTGGGGTCGCAGTTAGAGATATTTCTTAACATAACTATTCAAGAATTTTTTATGAAATGTTTATGGATAGTACTAGCAAATCTTTAAGTATACAGTTTTCGCCAATAAAATGAAAACGAATTCTATGGCTACAAATTGTGCAACAAATTTTTATAAAACAGTCCCCAACAACGGCAAAGTGAACGATTCAATATTTGAATACATAGTTAGTAGTGCAAAACATACATATGCAGTCTTCAGAACGGCATCTAGTTTAACGGTAGTCTAATGGGTTAAGGTCTAGAATACCCATTGGCCCATCTTCCGCATCAGTGTGTTACATTTTTTTTGAGCCACGTTTGATACGTTTCGTATAGCCATCCGCATTTGTATCTGGAATCCCATTCTCACTACATCAAAAAGCTTTTTAATTATAACATTTTGTCTTTTGTTGTGTTCGTAACTCCAGCGGCATCTAGTAGGTAGTTTCGTTACAAAAGAATTTTCCTTCCTATTACCCAAATACATTTCAAATATAAAACAAATCGGACCATAAATACGAATTGTATCAAAAACATTAAATTTAGCGCCACCTGGCGGGTAAATAGTTTGCAGAAGTATTTCACTTCTCTTTGCTAAAAGGGATTTCGAATATAAATAGGTATTTTAGTAATAACTTGACTTCAGCGCCATCTGGCGGAGACATTTTTTCGTACGAAGCTAGTCCTGTTAACTATGTACAAAAAAAGAAATAAAAAATATTTATAAGATCTTTAAGTTCGTTCACAAGATAAGTCTCAAATAATTTGGAAACTACGTCACTTTGAGCTTTTTTAAAGACACTTAGAATCCTCTCACATTGTGTAATTCCTAAAATTTTTACTGAATGTTTTCACTCTGAACGCAGTAAGTACTGTGTGGCGGTGGTAGGCCAGATACAGGTCATGCTCTTCGACCTTCTTGTTACTAGATCGGATTTTGAATACCCAAACAAAAATGACATCCAGTTACTCTCTGGCTACCTTATACGGTGTTCGCATGAGGCGATTTTACAGGCAACTTTTAGTTGAAAGCAACAATCGCTTGGTCTGAACGGCCTTTCAACTAATCGCTTCCAATGAAGTTGGGGTGCAACCAACTTTTGATTCGACTAATCGCCTCTGAAATTGCCTGGAAAATCGACTCATGCGAACACCGCCATTCACCAGTGTTGCCATTTTGGTGGTGGTCCCCAGAGTTCTGTGCAATGTCGCTGTGTTCACACATTGTACACATTTTCCCTTCGGGAGTTTTCGGTATTATGCAGGTATGTCCAATGGTACATTTAAGTTTTAAATTGCATTTTATGAATGCTCAAAAAAATAAAAAGTACAAGTTATTGGTTTTTATGTCTATGAAATTCTGGAAGCCCGTAATCTGCTAAATTTGCTAAAAATGCTGCCTTTCCCCCCAAAAAAAGATACTACTTACGGTGTCTGGTAAAAAGAGAAAGTTATTACGTATATCAGCATTTTTCAATCATCACTCTACTCTCCACAACGGTAACGTTAATCGCGGTCATCAACTGCTGCAGCTGCAACTTACAATTTTCTATAGGCGCACAGCTAGAGGCATTTTTTTAAGCTTAAATATTTTCAAAAAATGCAATTTTTTACTTCCTGATTTGCTTTACTTTGGTTACTTCGAAAGCAATTCAATATTTGTTTTGTAACTAAATGTAGATATTTTATAAAAAAATTCCATGTAATTACCAACACGCGATATTTAATTATAACAAACTATTCAAATACCTATTGTAATGCTGTGCACTTGAAGCTAAGTATGTACAGTCACTCACAGAAGTATTCGTAAATTAGTTTTTTCACAATATTCAAAATGTTTTCCATCATAAATATTTTTCGTTAATGTTCATTTAAAATATAGCTCATTCTACAACAAAAACCATATGCAGTTTTGTAGCCCATTCAATTTTAGTATAATAAAGTGCAAGTTTCAAGTAGCTAAAAATTACCGCTGATTTTTTAGATTTTGAACAAAATCTATTTTTATATGGAAGAAAATGCGCAACACCCTCGACAAAAAAAATTCTAAAAAATCAGCAGTAATTTTTAGTTGCTTGAAACTTGCACTTTATTATACTAAAATTGAATGGGCTACAAAACTGCATACCGAAAACTTTTCTAGCAATTCTGAATAAAAAGTTTGAAATTTTGATGAAAATTTTTTCAAGTTTGATTCATTTTTATGAATTTTGTACAATATTTGCAATAATGATTTAACATTTTGAATATTGTGAAAAAAAACTAATTTACGAATACTTCTGAGAGTTACTGTATGTATGAAACAAAAGAGTGATAATAACACATATAGTGGATAAAGCAAATATTTTTCAAGCCCCTGAGCAGCGCTCCGATAGCTGTTGCAGCGCCTGATCGCTTACACGCCGCAATCTCGCGAACGTGAACACACACACGAAGCACGTAAACATCAGAGTTCGCTTGTAATTGCACTATCATTGGCATTAACCTTTGTTTTTTTTTTTTTTTTTTTTTTCGCATGCATGCAATTAAATAGCCGCCAAGCACCGATTGCAATTGCTTAGTTAGTTTAAAATTTTTATACAGGCTTACAACTTACACTCCTCGCCTTTTGCTGCCTGCAAGCGACACGACCATAAAAAAAAAATAGCTGAATCACCGATTTAAAGTTAACAGAAATTCGATTGAGCCGCAATGAAACGCTCGGTTTCAACAGCACTTTCAACTTTATGCAGTCCGTATCAGAGTTGGAGTTGTGGCTTGACGCTGCGCAGTAATCACCTTTCGAGCGCCAATGGTAGCCACTTGCTGAACTTGCTGGCACGTTGCACGATTTGCTATTGACTTTGACTTTGTGCGATTTTAGGTAACTGCAGGCGTCTCAGTTCACTTTTCAATTGACGCAACCGTCAATGAACGCAGCAATTAAAAAAACATACAGACAAGCAAAAGGCCAAAAAGGAAGAAAAACGAAATGGATTAAAAAATGTATATTTAAAAAACTCGTTTACGCTGTTGTGACGGCTTTTAGGAAATAATGCTTGAATTGGCCGTTGCGGCTGTTAAAAGTCTTTCACCAAAAAATTTCATCAATTTCGAAAACTCGTTCTGCCTTTGTCTTTTCTCTCTCTTGTATGCAGTTTTGGCTATTGTACTTATACTTTTCCTGAAACATTAACTTCAACTCGTTTTTTGAGACATTTACTTATTTTTTTTTTTTAAATTGTTCGCTTTTGAAACTTAATGCGGTTGTTGGGCTTGCTTTAGGCCTGCAATTTCTTTAAGCATTTTTTTTTAGCGCAAGCACGCATGCGCACTTACACACTACATGCACATAGGTGGCTGCACTTGTTGATGGCATCGCATAGGACCGACAAGTAAAATTATATATAATTCTTAAGTTTTTTTTTTCAATTAAAAATTGCTTAAAATCCTCATTAGAAATATCCACGCACTCAATATGTACATACATACTTATATACGCATATACATATAATTTCTTTCATCAAAAAAATATGCACTTAATATTTAATCACCTTTTCTTATCCACGCCCTTATCCACTGATAACTATGTACGTTCACAAACGCTACTACGTTGCTTAGCACTTACTATTACGTTATGACGAATCTGTTTACTTACGCGTGCGCCTTTCGCTTTAATTTAATTATTAGTTTTTTTTTTTTGTTTTAGATATTTACCGCGCGCGGTTTTTTATCCGCGTTACGTTGCGCGCCGTTTGAAAGAGCAGTTAGACTAAGCGTCGGAAATGGTGAGCCCTCAATTTTTATACTCTGCGCGTTCGCTTATCAATCGTACAGGCGCGCGCGCAATGAATCGTTGTGGCGTTGAGTGAGGCGCACGCGGTTGGAGCTTCGCACTTTGGAGCAGCGCGATCGCGGCACAGTCAGGGGCGCGCGCTTTGCTGGCTGAGCATAAGCGGCCGTTTCACTCGTTGAGTTTCGGTGGGTGCTTGCAGTGCAATGTTGTTGATTATGACTTTGTATTGTTATTTGATATAAATGCGTTTATTGTTATTGTTGTTGCACTATGAAAGAGGCTGTTGTCCGCCTATGCTGTTGCAATGGCAAATGTTGCTCTGATTGCAGTTGCTCTAGCAGCGCGCCGCTGCGTTGTATGTATAATGGTGCCAGCAGGCGCCGCACGGAAAACGGATAATTGATTGTTTATGCGTAGGCAACAGCAACAATGCGCTAAATATTTATTTGTGCAATTTTCGTGGTTTTTCTTACAGCTTTTCGCTGCTTTTATTAAGGTTGTTTATGCAAAATTTTAACTCTTTCCTCTTGTTTTTGAACTATTTTATGCTGCGATTAATTCGTTCAAAAATTGTTGCTTTGTTGTTTTTTTTGTGGTTTGTTTACATCTGGTATCCCTATTGTGGCTGCTGTTGCATTTATGTACGTACATATGTATGTATGTGTGCCTGTATGTAGCTCACTGCATAGTCACTTGACTCTATCGCCGCGCGATGGTTGCTATCTCCTACTTCGGGAACGCTTTTGACAATCACTTCTCTTTTATTATTTCGATTTTTGTGCACTTATAATTTTCTGTTGTTCACAATTTGTGGTTAGAAAAAAACACCAAAAACACATTTTTCAGACTTTCAAAATTTCTGTTTTGTTTAGCATTTGTCTTTTACATAGCTTTGCCAGCTTTCTACTATTTAGTAGTACAAAAAAATTGAAATTTATTGGGAATAGCGCTGGTATCTAAAACAGCATGATTCAGTTATAAAAATGTGATAAGCTGGTAGTTTTCTCGTTCACAGGCCCCTTTGAAAATTTACTTGAAAAGTAGCTTTAAGTGTAAAATTTTACTAAGTATGCAGTAGTATATATGTATGTAGTTCCACGAATTTAATTATATACATGCACTTATAAAACCCATTTAATATATCTACTAATGGAGAGAAATATTTAATTTTGAGTAAGTTCGTATTTCGTAAAAAAAACTTATAAAAATTCAAAAGAATTTCATCAAAATTTCAAACTTTTTATTCAAATTTTTACAAAAAATTTTGGTATGCGGTTTTAGAGCCCATTAAATCCTCAATTGGCTACAAAATACTGCTGAATTTTGGCATCTTTTTTTGCTGACAGTGTCACGCATTTCTTCCATCATACAAAGCTTGCTCGATATTTTTTTTTACATATATAAAAGAAAACGAAGGAATGAAAAGATTTTTTTTATAATTTATTGGGAGCTGAAAGCGAATATGATGTATTTTTCCAAAGAAAGGCGTAACTAAAAAAAAACAGGAAACACGCTTTTGTGTTGGAAGAATTTAGTACAATTAAATTAGGGTCCAATACCGGTGATTTGAAGATTTTTAATTCAAAATTCTTTCTACCTAGTGTTTAAGTTTCATTTTTTTTTTTGAAAAAAAAAAAATATTTCTCATTAAAAAAATAATATTAATATTTGACGCTTACACATTTGCTAGTGCTTCTCCTAAAATGTGGGCTCTGCGCCTTGTCACGCAACCGAAAGGCAATTGGTTTTGATGAAAAGCCAGTTTTTTATGCCAGAGGTTTGTTTTTTGATATTGCTCGGACCCTAAACAACCTATGAATGGAAGTGCGCTTCTCTACCTACTCGACCGCCGCGGCCGCCCTCTTTCGCCCTAATCCAAATTCCTAATGCATTTTCCGCGACCCTTAGAAAATGTGAACCCCGTATAAGCCATTTTTTCAAGAGTGGGCCAAAAAGGCCCACTACATATCAACTCTAATTACAATGTTAAATTTACTTCAGGAGCTCTATTCTCTTAACTGGTTAAGAAATAAACAAGGGAACTATTTTTTGAAAAAGGCGTAGAGAATTCGATAATATTTTAAGTTAAGTTTACCAACATAAAAAACGTTTGACTTTGACCAGTCTGTTAAGCATCATTGCATTAAAAAAAAATCAACTTGAACGCATGCTTCTTACCCAATTTTCAGCATATGACTATGAAAAAATTCATTTACTCATTCATTTTTGTCTCGGATCTTTGTTCTCTTGAAGAACAAACCAGGATATAAAGAATACTTAGTTTACAAAACTTTTGCTTTGTGAAGCATCACCAAAAATGAACTCTGCTTGGATGTTTCACAGATCGCTGGAGCAGGTAGCTGCCTTTAGTGGGCCAGATAAACTTGATGATGCTTATATTATATTTTTTTATATTATATATTATATGATATTATATTATATTTATATTATAAAGTATGTATGTATATTCGACAATTTTTTTGTGTTGTAAAAATGCGTTATACCGTCAGAAAAAAAAAATATGTAAAATCAACGCGGTTTTCTAGAAACTTAATGGGCTAAAGAACTGCAAATTAAAAAAAAAATCGAATATTTTATAATTTTTACATGAAGTTTGAACCTTGGATTTATATAGTGCTATATAACGATACAGATTTTTATGAAAAAATAATAAACATTAAATAAACAAAACAAAAATAGTCAAAATTGATCAAAATGTTGTTGGCTTAATTAGCTGATCACATGTGTATGGACATGTTCAGCCCGTGTCACTCTTCCTTCTTTATTAAAATGAGTGGGGGAAACAGCCTCTGCATTGACTAATTGCCCTTAATTAAGTTAAAAGCACATTTGGGGAGCCACTCCATTGTTAAAAAAATTTCAGTGTTCATTAAAAAAGAACGCGACTATGCAGCATTTCACTTTCTAAGGGTAATTAGAATTATACATAGGACATATGTCATTATTATTATTATTATTATTATGCATGTATGTATGTACGTAACTGGTATAAATATATCGCAACTGATGGCTAATCCATCCATCCATCCATCAAAAACCCAATTAAGCGACAGCAAAACGTTTGTTGCTTTAACTGTGAAAATTTTATAGCATTTCTCCAAATTTTCTTGTATCAAGTGACCTCTGACTGAATTCGCTTCACTTTGTCCGATTTATGTACATATGTATGTACATATGTACATACGTTTAAATCTAGTTTATTTTTATTTTATTTTAATTTGTAGTGTTTCCAAAAAATCGCATAAACTTGAAATTCTAATGCCGCATTGAAGCGACTGTGACCGAATTTAGTATTCTAAGTGGCATTTATGTAAATATTGCACACATTTTTAATGCGCATGTAAATGTACACATGAGAAGTCTAAGTCACTTCCACACTACATATTACCAATTTATGAGGTAGCACGATAACTACATATATACATAACTACCCTGCCGGAAAAAGCACTATTTCTAGTGGGCACGCTCAATTCCTTTTCTAAAAAGCACCTAAAACCCGTAAACAGTTTGTTAAAATTTTTTGTTTGTTCCGAGATAAAATTGGTTTGTTTCATTATTTACAAGCTATTCTCGCAGTGCACATAGCTCGAATTATTATTACGTGCGCGATGTGCCAATAAATGCTTAGCTGACAGACTTTGTATGCAAGTAAAATTTTTAATGGTTGTGACTTGAATTAAATATTGGAAAATTTGGCATTTTCGTGTTCTAAATCTGGGTATTTAATGTTGTAAATGCACTTTTCTGTAGATTTGTATTTCTTTGATAAAATATGTATGTAAATATTTTTTTTACCCACACACATATGTATCTATTTTTATTCAAATTCAATGCGTTATTAAATACCAACACAGACAGTTTTCCTACTAAATACTTGTCTTATTTTTTGCCTTCATAAGTTTTTATCTTAATTAATTTCACACTTTCTGTTTTGACTTTCACGTTTTGCACTGTCTCAAGTTTTTGATTTACAATTTTACTTAATGAAGTACTTGGATAACTTTTGTGGCCAACCAGCTGAAATCTGGCGTGGTTAATTTGATCTGCTGCATAAAAAGAATAAAAAGAAAAATCTACTTTCTTTCACTGAAAGCAACGAATTGCTTTCAGCTGTTTTTACTTTATTCTACTTCGTGTGGCATGATTTGTAAGCAAATAAATACATATGTACATATGTTTTATACATTTTTAATGACCTGAAGAAACAAGACTGCCAAATATTTTTTTTTTTTGTGTTAAACTAGAACTGTTAAAGTAATTGAATAAAATAAGAAAGTTCTATTCATTACCCAAGTAGATCACATACATACATGGGTATGTGCATATGTATGTAGTATGTAAGTTAAAAAACAGCGCCAAAAATCTCATTGTTACGATTCCGTTCAAAAATTTTTTAAATTTTTTCAAAATATTTTTATGCAAATTCTTTAAGCTTAACCCGTTTTGGCATCTAGGGTTTTTTTTCAAAAGTTCTTGAAGAAACTATTTTTATTCAGAAAAAACTAAATTTTTGGAGATATTTTCTAATCGGTCCAGCTCCCTTAAATCTTAATATTTTTCCGAAATATTTTGGTGGACGTCTTCAAATATAATAAATTTTGTAATCCCGACGGAAAAGCCGCAACTTTTTTTGGTGATGCAGTCTAATGTATATATACATATGTATGTGTGTACTAGGGATGTTGCGAATGTGAAAATCTAGACATCCGCGGATGCGCATGCTAATGTCGGATGTAACCTCCTGACTTTCATCTTCACTTGAAGAATCCAGCATCGTGGCAAGATCGTTCTTTAAACACCGCTTACTCTACGAACCAGATGCTTCAGGTTTTTCTAAAGCATTTTGCAAAGAATTCCTCATTCCTATTCTTTTGGCTGTTTCAAAAATTATTTTAGTGTTATTCGTAGTAAGTTTTTGTAATGCATATTTTATCCTTTATTCTGTGACTGGTT